AAAAAGAATTAGGAGCATTACACACACACCCTGTAAAGAGAGAGGTTAAAGGTAAAGGGAGGCAACTCTTTCTTTTACCAGAGAATAATGTGAATGCTGAAGCCAAAAGACTATGGTACAGATATACCACTTATTACCTTTGTGACTATGAACAAGTTTCTTTACATCCCTAAGTCTTAGTTTCCTCATCTGTAAAAAAAGAAAAGGGGGGGGGCAGTAGTACCATAATGGCTATCTGCCCAACATCCCATTTCTCTTTGCCTTTGGGGAATTATCTCCAGCCCTACCACCTATTTTATATGACTTCACCCACGGGGTAGACATGTGATCTAGGATCCAACTAAGAGCACCTCAGCCCTCTGACTACAATGCTATTCTAGAAATGTACCATGACACAGCAAGGCTAATTAATTAAGTCCTTTCCTTGAAACATGGAGGAAAAGGGATACTCAGCTGAAATGAAGTATGCCTGCAGCTGCCCGTACAGTGTTTTCCATACACGGAGAATACCTATCTGCAAAAGGTGATAAAGTGGAGAAATGAGAGAAAGATTCCTGATAACAACATCTGAGTCCCTGGCTCCAGCCAATTCAGAAGCCCTACTATCCTTCACAATACCCTTTTTTTTGCTTAAGCTAGTGTGAGTTGTGTTTCTGCCCTCAACAATGGGAAAAAGCTCTATATATTAACTATTTACAGAACTGTTGCAAAACTGAACAATAAGAAAAGTGCCTGGCAACTGCAAGTACTTCATAACTGGGTCATTGGTGAAGTTGTTATTCCTGTAATCAGAAAATAGCACCAAAGGGTGAAAGAAAAGCACTGCCAGAAACTAAAAACAAAAGGCAGGTAAGCCTAAAATAGCATTCCTGGCTGGAGGTAGCAGTTTGTGGACTAATATGGAGAAAGTAAGGACTCAGGTAAAGAGAGAACCTGTAAGGCTCACAGATATTACCAGACTTCAGAAGAATTCACAGTAGAAGAACTACGAAATTTTATTTCTTGCACTAAAATTCACAATAGAGTATGACTGACCTCCCAAAGCAGTTTGTATTTTCATAAGATCAGTATCTCAATGTTTAAAGAGCTCTCAAAATGTACCACTATGATTTTCAAACCCGCAAAACCAATCTCAAAATTTAAGATCTCATAGGACACAACTTAATTTCATATGGTTCATAATTATTGCTTTAGTCATCGTTGTTTCCTAAGTTCTGACATAGGTTTATACATTAAACATTTATGACAATTTTAGGAAAGTATCCTTCAACTTATGAAACAGATAAGTTCCTTAAAGTTTTACCCAGAAAGAACTGTACCATCACTATGTACAGCTGACCCTTGAACAATGCTGGGGTTAGGGATGCCAATATCCTGCACAAATATCAGCATAATTTTTGATCCCTAAAAACGTGACTCCTAATAGCCTACTGTTGACTGAAAGCCTTACCAATAACACAGTCAACACATATTTTGCATATTACATACTGTATTCATACAATAAAGTAAGCTAAAGAGAATAGTGTTATTTAAAAAATCATAAGGAAGAGAAAATACATTTATAGTACTATGCTGTATTTACTGAAAAGAATTATAAATGGACCCATAAGGTTCAAACCCATGTTGTTCAAGGATTCAACTGTAATATGAGAAGAAATCACAAAACTAGATTATGCATCCCCCAACAACCCATTAATCAACAAGCCAAACTGAAGTATTTTGGAGAAAATGAAGACTTAACTCCATGGCACTCTGAACACTGCCATACCCCCAAAACAACCATCCCTCATTTAGCAGTTAGTATCATATGTGCAAGGCATTGTGCCAGCCTAAGCGCCACAGAAAGGGCTCCATTAGCTAAACTCAAGTATTTAGTCACTACAATCTGATAAAGTTCATTTTCCCAACACACGGTGGGGGGGGGTAATGAAAGGAATTTTCTTAATTTTATTTTTCCTAATTTTTAAAATATTTTTTTAAAGATTTATTTGAGAAAGAGAGTGAGAGTGTGTGCACGGAGTAGGAGGAAGGGCAGAGGGAGAGAATCTCAAGCAGACTCCCTGCTGAGCAGAGAGCCTGATGTGGGGCTCAATCCCACAATCCATGAGATCATGACCTGAGCTGAAACCAAGAGTTGGATGCTTAACCAACTGAGCCACCCAGGCACCCCGGAATTTTAATTTTAAAAATGTTATTCTAATTTTTTTCTCAAACGCTATGGTCTTCCTCTACCTATTCAACTAGAATCCACTGTGAGGTACCATCTGATTTAGCACATAACTACATACTTAAGCTACTTTATTTTGGTTCTCAGTGGTATTCTGCAAAGAGCACCTGAATTTTTACAGAAATTTGAAATGCACAGTGTTAAGAGATGAAGAATCACTTATAAGCCAGAACAGATCAAGTATCTCAGTAAGTTATCTAACTACAGAGGAAGGATACAAAAATTTAAAAATAAATTTAAAATAAGAAAAATATAAATGATAAAACACTAAAACAAGTTCTACAGGCAATCTGTGTAAGGAGTGAGATCATGAGAGAAATGAAATAGTAGTAGCAAAAAAGAAGGTGATTCAAAAGAAGTAGGCTCTAGGGAAGGCTTTGACAAGGCAGACAGGCAGCCTGGTGCCAGTTCCGGCCTGTGCTACGATGCCACAACAGCAGATCTGTGAGTTTTATCTCACAAGCTCATGGGCAATTAGAAAAAGAGGTGTCACAAGAGAACTTTAAATAATTCAGGTAGGGGCACCTGGGTGGTTCAGTTGGTTAAGCACCTGCCTTCGGCTCAGGTCATGGTCCCAGGCTCCTGGGATCGAGCCCCACATCCGGCTCCCTGCTCCACGGGAAGCCTGCTTCTCCCTCCCCCACTCCCCCTGCTTGTGTTCCCTCTCTCGCTGTCTCGCTCTGTCAAATAAATAAATAACTCAGGTAACATATAAACTCCCAGTTTCAGAGTGACTTTATAATTCAGTCTAAATGTATTGTCCTACAGCATGAAAAACTCAATGAACTAGGAAACAATCAACAAGTCCTCTAATCAACGATAGAAAATATATAAAGTCCAGGTTCTTATCAGGAACTAGAACTAAAACTTCTCTGTTGTTCAATCCTTTTTTAAAAACTTAATTACAAAAATAACATGCATAGAGGCTTTTCTCTGAGTGGTTCCGAAGGCCATGTAATCTATTTATTCCTTTAGACATTTCTAAATTGTATTCTTAGATCAGGCCAGATTAGACCACTGCTGATCCATCTCACTCCTAAACTGTCTCATAAAATTGCGTTTTTGTATCGTGACATTTGCTTACACTAAGGAATATTAAGAAAAATCATAAAAAGCTCATTGTTATGGCTGCTGGAAGAATGCTATCCAAATGCTGTCCCTCTTTATGTACATCAGGTCTCAAGAACATGAAGAGCAATGTTTTTATCCAATGGACACTGAATCCTGTAAATGATTCACTATCCTCCTTTGTTTTGGCCATGAGGAAGCTCAGAGCATTATTTCCAGCCCTTTTCCAACAAATGAATGGACTATGTAGTTTGCATCTCCAGAAGGAAATGTTACCTCAGTTTATTATTCTCCTATCTTTATCTCTACTTTCACGTGATTCTCCTTCCTGTGCTCTTGAATTATTTTTTTTTTGTAAACTGCCTCACATCCTTTGTGGAATAAGACGGGGTACAAAGAAATAATACATAATCTAGAATTCAAAACAATTAGACAGAATTGGAGGGGTGTTAAAAATTTACCACATGATACTCTTAAGAGAGTAAGAGAGAGGAAGAAAAATATTTGCAAAAAATTTTTCTTTCAAGTCCAGGATATCTGTCAGAATTAATATATGTTCAAACAATCTTCTATAATGTTGACGTAGGTCTACAGTACTATATGGTATCAACTGTAACTCAGAATAATGACCAAGGGTACTAAAATAGCCTATTAAATAGAATATTAAAATGTTGCAAGTTTTTCTCCATAAAACAGAAATAGGCTAGACAAAATTTTAGATATATTTTAACCATCATCACCACCACATTTTCCAGTTAAACCTTTAAAAACCCAGTTTAAGATAAAAGCTCATTATCTTACCATTACCCAGTTAATCTAAGTAATTATGGACATTCTCTAAGGTTCTATTCTGGCCTCTCAGAAACTCAGTGGGCATTTCTACCCTCACAGTTTCAACTTCTATGTGAATGATTCCAAAATCTCTATCCCATCTCAATTGGGCTGCCTTTCGTCACAATCTCAAGTAAAATATTCAAAACAGTGCTTAGTTATCTTTCTCTTCTTCCTCACCCCTATAAGCAACCCTTCCCAAAGAGCTCATTCTGTCCAATTCCAAGGCTTCAAAGTCATCTTTGGCATTCCATCTTATCAGGCTTAACCATTTCTTCTTTTGAAGTGTCTTTGTGACTGGCATTTTCTTTTTCATTTGCACTTATATCTTACTAGGTCAGGCCCTAATTATAAGTTAATCCCTCTCAGACTTTCTATTTCACAACCTCAGCAATGTTTTTTAGCAAGTCGCTTCCCTCAAACCTGCAGTAACAGCTTCCTATAACCTATTACATCAAAGTGACATCCCTCAGTCTGAACTTGCAGGGAAATCCAGGATCTGGCCCCACACTAATTATCTCACATTTCCCGTAACTATCCCTACATCACCATTTACTACACCAGGTCAAACAGGTGAATACACCCTCAAGGCCAAGTCATTCTTTACTTATTCTGCTTCTTCTCTCTATACCTGGAATGCCCTCTTCTCTGTTTTAGCCAAATCTTACTATTCTTCAGGACATGGCTCATGCGTCATCTCAATAACAAAGCTCTCGCCTACATGATGACTACTGTTTAGTTCAGAACCACATGATTCTTGACTTGAACACTTTCCTAAACTAACCAATCACTACTTTTGACAGCAACCACTTAAATTTCATGCAAATGGCAACCACTAGGCAAATGATTCTAATGGAGCAAACTGAAGTCTTACTTAATGTTATAATGTCCAGTTTTCAGTGTACATCTATCAGGAAGCTGAGCAAGTTTCTTCGAGAGCATTTTAAAATACTTCCTGCACTCCTGCACGCCTGTGCCTTGTTCATAGTCAGTAGAAGCAGAAAGTGGCAGCCCATCTCTGACACGAATGACTGATGCAGATAAAATCATAGACATTTCAACCAGCAGAGGATACCTAAAACAAAATGAACAATTTGGGTTAGATAAAAAATGAAAGCCAAACCTGATAAACAGTGCAAAAATGTTCAACTCACTAATAATCAAAGATTCACTAATTAAAACAATGACATACTACACTTTCCTTAACAAATTAGCTTTTAAAAAATAATAACTGTTGGGACACCTGGGTGGCTCAGTCGGTTGAGTTACCTGCTCCTGATTTCAGCTTAGGTCATGATCTCAGGATCCTGAGATCCAGCACCACATCAGCCTCTGTAATCAGGGTGGAGTTTGCTTGTCCCTCTCCCTCCCCCTCTGCCTCTCCTCCAGTGCATGCGCTCGCTGTCTAAATATTTTTTAAAAAAATAATACTTGCTTCTTTTTGGCATTCTTATAAGTATTTGCAGAAGTAAATATTGGAATAAACACCATTCTCAAAATAATTTGGCGATATTCAAAAGAGTGTAAAAATACTGATGCCCTTTGACCACAAGAGCAATATAAATATATAACCATATCCTAAGGGAGGTAATCAGATTCAAACAAAACTTTAAACAGATTATGCTAAGTGAAATAAGTCAAGCAGAGAAAAGTCAATTATCATATGGTTTCACTTATTTGTGGAACATAAGGAATAGCAGGGAGGACATTAGGAGAAGGAAGGGAAAAATGAAGGGGGGAAATCGGAGGGAGAGATGAACCGTGAGAGACTATGGACTCAGAAACACACTGAGGGTTTTGGGTGGGGGGATGGGTTAGCCTGGTGATGGGTATTAAGGAGGGCATGTACTGCATGGAGCACTGGGTGTTATATGAAAACAATGAACCGTGGATCACTACATCAAAAACCAATGATGTATTGTATGGTGAGTAACATAATAAAATAAAGTTTAAAAAAATTTTAAACAGAAAGGCATTCTTTCACAGAAATAACCAAAAACAATCTAAACATCCAACAATAGGGGAATGGTTAAATAAATTATAGTACACCCCTATGATGGAATATAATGAAGAACAGTTATGTTTATGAAAAAGAGTTCAATAATGTAGTAAAATGCTTACATATAAATCAGAAAAAAAGCAGGATAAAAACTGCAAATGTTGCTTTCTATAAAGACAAAGAGAAGAAAGGAGAGATAAATGGAGAAACAGATATCAGAAGGAAACATGCTAAAATTATAATAATGCTTATCTCCAGAAAATAGTATCATGGGTGATTGTTATTTTATAATTTCCTAAATGTTCATAATATTCCAAAGTGGGCATATATTACTTTTATAATCAGAAATAAAATTTTACTGGGGTGCCTGTGTAGCTCAGTCAGTTGAGCGTCCAACTCTTGATTTCAGCTCAGGTCATGATCTCAAGGTCTTGAATTTGAGCCCCCTGTCAGGCTCCCCACTCAGCAGGAAGTCTGCTTGGGATTCTCTCTCTCTCCCTCTGCCCCTCACCCTACTGATGCGCACTCTCTGTGTCTCTAAAATAAATATATCTTTAAACAACAAAAAAAATTTATTTATAGTAAGTCTTAAAGCTAAAGGAATACTGGTTTTAATATTGCTCTCAATGTCTTTACCAGAAAATAAACCATAATGGCTTCTTTTATTATATTCTGATCAAGCTTCACAAAAGTAGATAAAAGCACTTCACAGGTTGGGTCTGAAAGAAATCAGGTAAACAGAAACTTTGCTAAAAACTATATAATGTTGCTCAAATTTTAGCTTGTAGAAAAACCATTGGAAGTTTGGTTAGAAATGCAGATTTCTGAACCTCCCCCTGCCCCCAAATTCTGATCCACTGACTACGAGGCAGAGCTTGAGAATCTTCCATTTTTAATGGAAGGTAATTACTATGCTCAGTGTCTACGGATCATACTTTGAAAAACACTAAATTAAAACATGTTCACAGTCTGAAATTAAGTGATAACTCTTTCTTGCCAAGCCTTCTGAGAATAATGCCACTAAATACTGCTTCACTAGCAGTAGGGTAAATGGTGAAAACTGAAAATTTTGAAAACAATTTCATAGGATTTTTTCAAGATATTGTATCCCAGAGACTAAATCTTCACCTGTCCTGTTCAGACAGCTCAATATTATCTCATTCCAAAAATGAAAAACTGAGTTTGTTATGTAAATGCCAAAGAAAACCAACTGGTACTGACTTTGGAAATTAGTACTATAGTTACTCGTTTTCACTGCTGTGTAAAGTTGCAATGTGTCTATCCATGATGGTAACTGATACGAAAAATTAACCCAAATGACAAAGTTAATGCATTAAATTTACTCTCCCTTTTCCTCTTTTCGTGAGAAAATGAAAGGAATAGCTAGGTATTAATGTATCATTACCATTTTTCTCCTTCATTCATTTAAAAGGAAAAAAACCCAACAGGAATTAAATTAGCCTTTATCATAATGGGATCTTCTAACAGAAGTCCAACATAACATATTCAAATCATTTTTTTTTCCTATTCAATCAGTTTCCTTTCCAAAAGCAGTAGCAAGAGAAAGCTGGGAATCCTCAAGGGATAATACCTAAACTACAAACCCATTTTAAAAATTTACTATGTTTCATTAATTATTAAACCATAATTATGAGATTTAGCCTAAGTATAAGAAAGTAGGAAAATGTCTTACTTCGTACCCTTAGGCATTTATTATTTAAATATAAAATTTTTTCTTCCTGAAGTTTACTGCAACACAATGATTACTCTGGGAATTAACATGAGGGCAGGGTTGTGACTTAATAGTTTCCAAACACCCACGTTCTTAGTATTTAAAAGTATACTGCATTCTTTTTTTTTCCTTGCTATAGCTTTTTTATTATGTTATGTTAATCACCATACATTACATCATTAGTTTTTGATGTAGTGTTCCATGATTCATTATCTGAGTATAACACCCAGTGCTCCAGTCAATACGTGCCCTCTTTAATACCCATCACCAGGCTAACCCATCCCACCACCCCCTTCCCCTCTAGAACCCTCAGTTTGTTTCTCAGAGTCCATAGTCTCTCATGGTTCATCTCCCCCTCCGGTTTCCCCCTCTTTATTTTTCCCTTCCTACTATCTTCTTTTTTTTTTTAACATATAATGTATTATTTGTTTCAGAGGTACAGAGTAGACTGCATTCTTTTATGCCTGATCTTTCTAGGATCACAACAGAAATATTAGGAGTAATCTTTATTACAGAGTGCCAATTTTCATGTAATCTTCAGTTACTCTTTTCTTTTTTATGAATTAAAAACAGAAAGGATATGATTCGTATTTCCTAAAACATATACTAAGAAACAAATACCAATCTGTAAGTTCCATTCATTTAACAAACATTTATTGAGTAGATACTATATGCCAGGGACTATGGGAGACATTAGGAATACACAGTTCCTACCCTCAAGGACATCAATCCAGAATTAAAGAAATTCAGATGAAAAGAGCAAACATAAATTGTGTCACCCACCACTTAACTAACTGGAAAACTAGAGTTAGACAAACCTGCATTTCAGATATTCCTAACACATTTAGGCTTGTAACCAAACCCACAACACAGCATTGATAGTCCCTGTCAAGATTCGTAAGAGGTTGTCAGAAAATCGCTTCTATCAGTAGATAAAATTCCTCTGAGGAGAAAAAGCTAAATTTCTTCCTCCCAGAGTCATTGGACCTAATATCCAATCCAGTGAGCTAGCAAAAGAAACTGTCATGACTGCCCAATGAACAATGTCAGGCTTGACTAATTTGGACTTCAATCACTTTAGGATAAGCAATCTCTCTTCTATCAACTACTACCTCTCCCCTCTTTTGTTTCTACTTTGGATTCTTAATGCAGTTCCTTAAAAAAAAAACAACAAAAAACCACTCCAATCTCATCTGGACTTTGCTAGTAGAAAAAGGTATCTGTCCACATAAAGGCTGAGCTAGGGTTAGAATACCCTTAGAGTCTAAGCACGGTGGTGGTCGGGAAAACCAAGGAAAAACTGATGGGAAAATTTTGGGGGGGGGGGGAGAAATGGGAAAAAAAATTTCTGAGGAAATCAAGAGGTTACCATGTGCATGGGAAGATTCAGGAGCAACAGTAGTTTTATCAGGGCCACAGATACATTTTTAGGCCATGATCCATTTTTCCTCACCTTTAACACTGAAAACAATATATGTCTCCAGACAGCAGAAAACTCACAGGGAATCTGAGTACTGACCTGTATATCCTTTCCTCAACAGCAACTGCTAAAGGAAAAATCCCAAATTAGAATCTGGGTAAGTCTGGGAAAACATTTATGTAGACACTGAGGAAAATGAACTCCCACTATGCCAATGCTCAGCAACTGTTTAGTCCCAGGATGACAGGATGCTGACCTCTTCTTCAGAACCTTGTGAGGTAATGACTGTGGGCCACCAGGAAAGCACTTTCTCAAAAAGTAATTAACAAAACCCAACATATAAGTGTATTTTATATCTACTTTCCAGCAAGATGTTTTCATAAAAGATAAAAACATTTCATATCGGGTTAACCACTCATATCTTATTTTAGTTATTTCCCAAACTTAAATCATCCAAGTACCATTTTCAGAATTATTTTTTTTAAGATTTTATTTATTTGAGAAAGAAAACAAGCGAGGGGAGGGAGAGAGGGAAAGAGAGAATCTCAAGCAGACTCCACACTGAGCTTAGAGCCTGATGCAGGGCTCCATCTCACGACCCTGAGATCATGACCTGAGCCTACATCAAGTCAGCTGCTTAATCCGACTGAGCCACCCAGACACCCCCATTTTCAGAAGTCATACCACATCTACACCTTACCTGTACTATTATTTACCTAATGTAGGTCTTTCAACTGACTTATTTTTTTGCCCTATCCTTAGCAATAATATCTGTGAAATCGGTTTTGAGATGTTAGAGGTTTTTCTCCTAGAGATTTTTTTGTTGTGGTTTCATCCAAATATGTGTGTGTTAAATTTTCTGGAAAATGATTTTTTAAAATGTTCATCTACTTATCACTCAAATTATGTTGCATGTGAAACACTACCTCGGTACATATTTTATTGAAAATGCTAGCTGAGATCTGTGGGAATTGGGAGTGGGGGTTACTGGGAGAGAAAGCTATATTAATTGTGATGCGTAGGGTGGGAGCAAGACTGAGAGAAAAGGGAAGGACTTTGCACAGCCATAGGTTAACAGAAAGACACTTGAAAAACAGCTTGAAGAGGAAAAGGGGAAAGGGTATCAAAGACAATCAGAATTTATTTTGCAGCTTTGCCTATGCCCCTCACCTTACCAATAGCCTTCAATACTCCTATTACAGGTGCTTGTACTACACAGTAGTATGTGTAAGACCTCAGGCTCCAGAGTAGATTATACCCACAACTAGGAACAGGGCCCCCAATACATGCACAAATGTGTCAATCCCCAACAGTTATGCAGCACCTCACAGTTTACAAACAGAGAGGTAGGTATAACCTCCATTTTATAGATGAGGAAACTGAAGGTCCCATTCTCAATGTCCCATTGCAAATATATAGCAGAACTGGTGCTTAAACCTAAATTTCTTGTATCTCCACATTGCTGTGCTACATTGGTCTCCTAAAACCCACAAGGGGCAAGAACCTGGTGATACAGAAGCTATCTAGCTACTAATTTTGAAATAATAAAAGACCACCTTACATTTTCTTTAAGAGGAAGTATAACAGTTAACAGGATGGACTCTGGAACATATGCCTGGGTTCAAAAACTGGCTCCACCACTGTCTGTGAACTTGAGCACCTGTAAAATGTGGTCACTAATATTATGTATCTCATAAGATTGTTTTAAAAATACTAACAGTATCTACCTGATAGGGATACATAAAGAATCTGAAACATCACCTTGAAGAACAAAAATACAATATTGTTTATTATTATATTAACTGACTGCCCTCTATTGACCAGGCACTTTATACACTACTTCATTTAAGCCTTCCGATAACCTGTGAGAAAGATATTATCAGTTCTATTTTACCTTTGAGGAAATTCAAGCTCAGAAAAGTAATTTATTCAATTCCTACATTCATAAGTGACAGATTTAAATGCAGGCCTAACTCTAACCACCCAATGAGACACTGCCTCACAACATTTCCAAGCTTCCTACTCAAGTATATGGATACTTTGATAAGACCTGCGCTTCTTTCAAACATCAATATAAAATATATTTTTCAAAATCAGTTCATACACCAAAAAAAAAAAATCACTAAATTGATATCATGGTTCTCAACATAGAAAATGCCCAGATGTCCCATTAATTTAGGTCATGGTCACATATCAGATTCAAATACTGAACTACCTTCAATAATGGAAAGTATAGGTACTATTGTCAAGTACTGCCTAACTCCTTATAATCTCAGCACGTGAGCAAATTCAGAATTTAGAAAAGTAGTTGCTCCACCTGTTAGCTGGGATCACAACATCTCCCGTCTGGTGGCTGACTGACACTCTAGCCCTGTCCTTTGCCTTGGCTGTATACGCATAGGAGGGACTGGTTCTCAAGCTCTCCAACCGCCCCAGTGGATGATCCAGGAAACTAAGGCGGAGAAAAGTCCAAAGCTGTTTTCGCTGGCAGAGAGATTCAAGTCAGCTGGAGCTCGGCCTCCTATTCCGGAGCCCTCTTCCACCTGTCGAGCCAATTGCTCAGGTCTCCTTTAAGCCACATCGCTTCCAAAGTGCCATTAACAGGGCCTTAAATGGTTTCTGTTGGCGAACGCGGACAAATCTCTGGGCTCAATGCCCATTAAATCCCCACAGAACGCGAAGTAAGCCACTGGTTCAAATCCCACCCTGCCTTTAAAAAAATAGTAAATGCCACGTCAAGCTCTCTAGGCCATCTAAGTAGCCTAGGTGGATTACCGTGTCTCTAACAACTGGGCTCCAGGGAATGCCCCCCACTGCTGGCAGCCCACAGCGACTGTCCCTCCCCCCGGAACCCCCTGCTTGGCCTGCCCCATACCCAAGAGAGGTCAGCCGAGGGGCAACCGCCGCTCGCGCGGACCCACAGCCTCCTTCAAGTCGAAGGGGACGAAGCCCCCGCAATCCCACCTCTCCAGAGCTCCGCGGCTCCAACCACCGGGCTCCCGCCCCCACGGCACGCGCTGGGTTCCTGTCCAGGGGGAGGTCTGTAGTCCCGAAGGTGAGGGCCGTGGCGGCTAGCAAGGAGAGCGAGGGGAACGCCTGCGAGGGGTTCCAGCGACCCTAAGAGGGGAGGAACGAGAACTCCGAGAGGTCAGGTCATACCTGCCGAGCCGGGACCCGCCGCTCCGAGTGACGCGACCCGCGATGCATTGTGGGGCCAGGGAGTGGCCTTTCTGCGGGGCAGCCCCGCGTTCAACGTGGCTGGCGCCCGACGGGATCAAGCTCCGCCCCCGTTTCTTCGGCTCACCCGGGCCAATCAGGTTCTGTGGGAAGGACACACTGACCCGCCCCCATCCTGGAAAGATTGGCAGCTTTTCACGCACCTGCGCCAAGAGGTTGCAAAGTCCTCTGGTGACGCTGACAGCTGATGCTGTCTCTCACAAATAAAGCTAATCTCTCCTGCCTACCGCTTGTGTCTGGAGAAGTTTGTCTCTCACACGGCCCTACAGCAAACACTTACCCAAGCAGCAGGGGGGGAAAAGCCCGCTCTGAGTGAGCAAGAAAAGGACTTGCCCCATCTATCACCACACAAGAGGAAGCACCTAACCTTGGCAGAGGAATGGCAGATGCAGACCCTGCAGCTCCTTCCAACCTTTGCATGGGTCGTGCATTGCTAAATAAGCACTATGACTGTGTACCACGTGCAAAGCACGGTGTTAGGCATTGGGTTACAGGAACAAACATAACCACTGGATGGAATCTAAAGTGCAATAGGAGCAAGAAACGTTAAAGCATAAATCATTACATAATTATAAATTGTCATCAGTACTATGAAGGAAAATTAGTAGGTATGATGATGGATTAATTCTGGACTATCAGGGAAGATGTCTTTGAAGAAGTGCCTTTTAAGTTCCAGGCATATGAAAAAGCCTAAAAGAACGTTTCAAGCCAAGAGAACATTAAGTGTTAGGTTGTTGGGGGCGTGAAAGAACTTGGTGTGTTCTAGGAACTGAAAGGAAGTCAGTGTGGTTGAAATGTAGGGAGCGAGCTTGGGCAGAGATGAGATAGAAGCCAGACCATGCAGGTTCTTATTTGCCACATAATAGATTTTAGATTGTATTTTGGAGTGTATCCTAAGGTTAATGGGCAGCTAATAGAGAATGTTAAATAGGATCTGATTTACATATTTAAAAGCTCACTCAGGCTATTTGTGGGAAATAGTTTAGAAGAGGGTAGGAAGGGTTGCTGAAAGGCCAGGTTGGAGGCAGTTATATTAGTCAAGGCCAGAGAGGATGGTGGCTTCAACTAGGGTAATGGCAGCAGAGACAGTGAGAGTTGGATAATTTCAGGACATGTATAAATGAGAGGTGGAGTCCAAGGGACTTAATAATGGATTGGTTTTCTGGGAAGAGAAAGAAAAGAGGAGCATTAAGAATGACTCCTTAAGGCGGGGGCAGCAGCGCGGCGGGCGGGGGCCGAGACCCAGACTGCCGAGCAGCGGGCACCCGGGAGGCCCAGAGCGGGGCGAGTGCCGTGAGCCGCAAATGCGACGTGGTCGTGGTGGGGCGCGGCATCTCAGGCATGGCAGCGGCCAAGCTTCTGCATGCCTCTGGCCTGAATGTGGTTGTTCTGGAAGCCCGGGACCGGGTGGGAGGCAGGACTTAACACCATCAGGAACCAAAAGGTTAAATAGGTGGACCTTGGAAAATCTTATGTTGGGCCAATTCAGAATCGTATTTTAAGATTAGCCAAGGAGCTAGGACTGGAGACCTACAAAGTGAATGAGGTAGAGCGTCTCATTCACCACGTAAAGGTGGAAATGAGCAGTACAGAGACATACTCCTCACTGGTAGAAATCATCCCTTTAGAAGACAGAAGTAACTAGCAGCAGCCAATTTGGATTTACATTAACAATGTTGACACCCTTATATTATTTGTGAGTGATAATATCAAGAAGGACAAAAAGCAGAAGGTACATTATGAGTCATTTAATAAAACAGGAAATAAACATCTATCTAATTTGTTAAAAAAAAAAAGAATGACTCCTTAAGTAACTAGATGGATTAAGAAGCCATTTACTGATTCAGGGAATGTAAAAAGAGGAGAAAATGGTTTTGGATATGAGTTTGAGATGCTTACAAACGGAGGGGTCAAACAGATTTGAATGTGTAAGTCTGGAGTTCAGAAGAAATGTCTGGACTAATTACATAAATGTGGTGGTTATTGAAGTGGGTTAACCCAGCAATTCTACTCCTAGGTATATATGCAATAGAAATGTATCCATGTGTTCACCAAAATACATATATAAGAATGTTAAGAGGATGGATAAGTTTAGAATAGTCACATAGTAAAATGGTATACAGGAAAGAGAATGAACAATTTACCAGTACACACAAAACATGGATGAATTTCACAGTCATAAAATTGAGTGAAATAAGCCAGACACAAAAATCGTATATTATATGATTTTACTTTTATAATATTAAAAATAGACAAAAATAATATATGGTAATAGAAGTTGGGATATTCCTTATCCTTAAGCAGTATTAATGTTTAAAAAGGGCCACTAGGGGGCTCCTGGAGTTCTAACAACTGTTCTTGATCTGGGTGTTGATTACACCAGTGTGTTCAATTAATGACAATTCATCAAGCTGTACACTTAAGATTTATGCAATTTTCCAGTATGTATTTTATTATTCAGTAGAAAGTTTACATTTTAAAAATGTTATGGGTGATCCAGCCATGAATAAGTTACTGGTACCAGACTAACCTTCCTATAACAAACAATAGAAAACTGGACCAAATCTACGAAAGAAGTGTTTTCAAACATTGGACAATAGGCATACTGGAAAAAAAAGGAAAACAAATAAGATGAGCCCAAAGGTTTCCCCAGATTTCTTTCTAGAGGTATTTACCTAAGCACAGGCTAGAAAAAAGCCAAACAGATTATATTACTCCTCCTAACTGAGGAGAGAAAAATTGGAATTAGGAGACATTGAAGCAAATGAAATTTGTAGGGAAGAATACCAGAGAAAGAGCCCCAGAAATATGCATAAGGGTCTCCATGAATCTTTGGTGTAGGTTTAAGGATAGATTTCATGAGCCTAGTTAAAGAACAACTACTGAGGGAACTGTAAGCTGAACAACTACTACAGCTTGAATAAAGTTTGGAAACATTCAAGTTCTGACCAATTGGAATGATGACACCTTATTAAACACCTGGGGCATTTGGTAGGGAGACCTCATAAAGGCCACACTTTAGAAATAAGGCTAGGGGCGCCCGGGTGGCTCAGTCATTAAGCATCTGCCTTTGGCTCAGGTCATGATCCCAGGGTCCTGGGATCGAGCCCCGCATTGGACTCCCTGCTCTGCGGGAAGCCTGCTTCTCCCTCTCCCACTCTCCCTGCTTGTGTTCCCTCTCTTGTTGTGTCTCTCTCTGTCAAATAAATAAAATCTTTAAAAAAAGAAAGAAAGAAAGAAAGAAAGAAAGCTAAACTAACCCAAGAGTAAAGCCTATTCTCTCCAATAAAGCTTATCTGCAAGTAATTAACTGTTTGCTTGAATGAAACTTAACAATCTTTAAATAAAGACGAAATCCAGGTGCCAAACCAGTAATACCCACCATGTCCATTATCCAATAAAAAAAAAAAAGTTACTGAGTATGTGAAGAAGTAGGAAAACGTGAACCATGAACAGGAGAAAAATCAGTCAATAGAAGCAGGCCCAGAAATGGTGAAGATGATGATATTAACAGATAGGAACTTTATTTTTTTTTAAGATTTATTTATTTATTTATTTTACAGAGAGAGAGAGTGAGAGCATGTGGCAGGGAGGGGCAGAGAGACAGGGAGAGAGAGAGAGAGCCCCAAGCTGATTCCCCACCTAGTGTGGAACCCCACATGGAGCTCCATGCAGGGCTTGGCATGGGGCTCAATCCATGACCCTGAGATTACAACCTGAGCAGAAATCAAGAGTCAGACATTCAATCAACTGAGCCATCCAGGTGCCCCAGCAGATAGGAACTTTAAGGCAGCTATAATAAATGTGGTCAAGAATTTAAAGACAAACATAAACGTAATTAAAGAAACTGTAAAAAGAATCAGATAAAACTTCTAGAGTAGTAAAATATAATATCCCAAATGAAAATTTCACTGGATGGGTTTAAATACACCTTAGACATTGCAGAAGAAAAGATCTGTGTATGAGGAAACAGTATGAAAAAATGAACTATGGGGCACCTGGCTGGCTCAGTTGGTTAAGCATCTGACTTCAGCTTAGGTCATGACCTCAGGGTCCTGGTATCAAGCCCTGCTTAGGGCTCCCCACTCAGTGGGGAGTCTGCTTGCCCTTCTCCCTCTGCCCCTCCCCCTGCTCCTGCACGCTCACTCTCTCTCTCTCATATAAATAAAATCTTAAAAAAAAAGAACAAACTACACCAAAGTACAGGGAGCAGTAAAGTTAAAAATAAAATGAACAGAGACTTGGTAACCGGTATGACAATAGTTATCTAACATATGTGTAACCAAGAGATCCAGAAAGACAGGAGAGGAGATTTAAAAAAATATGAAGAAATAATAGCCAAAAGTTTTCTAAGTTTAATAAAAAACATAAAAACATAGGTCCAAGAAAGAAAACCAACCCCCAAAACGATAAACACAAAGAAGTCCTTACTGAGGCACACTACATTCAAACTGCTAAAAATATTAGAAATGGTCAGAGAAAAAGCCACATAGTATACAGGGAACAAAGAAAAGAATTACTACTGACTTAACATCAGAAAGAATGTAAGCCAGAATATAA